CAGATTGATGCAAAATGCTACTGCTTATTGCCATTGATTTCAAGTTTGTTTTTGCACACAAACTTCACAATTTTTGATAGTTCTTCACAAAAAAATCATGATTCTGACCAAGCTTAGATTTTTATGCAAGTCTTGATTTATTACACCATAATTGCAGCTTGTAAGTATTACAATTTAGATTGTTGCAATTTCACATATATGTAACTTTATTCCAATTGACATCATCTTAATCTATTATAAAAGAAGTCAATTTTCTTCTCACATTGCAATCCATTTAATCCAACGTTGATACATTAATAGTACAAATTGTATACTGCTTTGTATTAAATAAAAAAATAAAAATAAAAATAACATGTAATGCACAATATTTTCAACACCAATATATTGTATTGCATTGATTTGATAGACTTACTTATAGCAACAATATTCTCTCAAAAAAATAGTGGATAAAACTAGTCTGACAATGTTGCAATGAATCCTCCAATATTAGTAGACTTCATATCTTAACCTTCTTGTATCCTAAGCTATACCCTCCAACAAGTTCCAGTAGCAACAATAGTCTAATATAACAATAGTATAGAAAACTTGTTTTTGGAAGCAATCAAACAATATTTAAAAACATTATACAAAATCTTGATATATTCTTGTATACAAAAATAATATCAAGTATTGTATATTATAATTATTTAGTACTAGCATATTCCACTACCTAGCACCATAGTAGTACAAGACATCTTGCACCTAAAAAATAGTATTACAAAAATATAACAAATTCTAAAAAATAATATTCATAAAATTAAATAAGATTTTTTTTCTACTTTATTTCTGTTTACTTCACAATAAGTTGAAAAAAATATATATTCTTATTAAGTAAAAGATGAAAAATCTATAAAACACTAAGTGAAGTTATCTCTTAGACTATATATGAAGAATCTAAGAATGCAAGTGTGTATAGAAAAAAATTAAATAACTTTACTAAAAGACTTTTTATTATAGTCAACAAAATCTTGTAATAAAGATTTTTTTCTCTCTCATAACTATTAATGACTTGACTTGATAAGAATGTCAAATTGACATGACTTCTCTACCTAAGTCTTCAAAGCCTATTTGATATTAATTAGGTCAATTAACGAAAAAATGTTAAGTGGATAAAAATCCATCAAACTAAATTAAACTATACTACATCTCTTTGATAAAATTTTACACCCAATGTGACATCACATGAAAATATTAATGAAAATAGTCTTACAATATTTTTTAAACCTAAGTAAGTTTTACAAAACCTTTTATTCTTCTTACATATAATGTAATTTTTAGATGGTCCTACATTACACACATCTTGACAACTACACATTTCTTTTATTTAAACATACAAAAATATGTGTATAGTAATTTATGAAAAATAATAAAAATAAAAACATATAAAATTAATGTACATTTTTCTAATAACATATAAAAATAATTTAAAATAACTTGCCCATTTTAGTGGAATGACAAAGTGAATCCTTTTGGTTTGTCAAGATTTAGATTTCATGAAGGGATAGCTTTGAGTTATTTTAAGAGCTCAAAAATACGCGTGATATTCACGCTTACTATTATTATTTGCAAATTCTTACCAACATTTGAGAAGGAACAAAGGCCCGAGCCTCCGGAGGTGGAGAGGGCGGCCAGAACGCCGAACCTGCAACGTCGGATCGTCAAAAGGACCGCCCTCCGAGAAGCAGCACCGAGCCTCGCGGGGATGGATGGATGCCTCGTTCCTAGAGCCTCCCTCCGCCTCGTCACACATTCATCCACATCCACAAGGATCCCGAACTCTGTTCACACTTGCGCTCCTTCTCTTTTCGGGTTCAGGCTCAGCTGTTCATGGTAGTTATCCACATGAAAAAGGATCGTATCTCCAACTATCGCAAGGTCGTGTTCAGAAGTATATTATTTAACTCTTATTATAAAATGGGAATATTATTCTTGGAAGAAAGAATTCATAATTTTAGTATTCGCCTGAACCCTAGTTTTAGGTCAAACCACAAGAGTCATGGTGCTATTCACTCTGAAAATGGGTTTGTTGAACTTTGGTTGATTCTTTATTTTGATAACAACTTGAATGGTTCACAATTAGTAGCTTACTCAACGAAATATATATATATATATATATATACAGTTATGTTAGTTTTTCAAATATAAGTGATTGTATAAGAATTTTTTAAATTTTTACTGTCTATGAAATTCTCATTGTTGAAAAATAATTCATGCAACTTCAGATTATTATCTTCCTTTATAAACATAAAGTTCAATTAATATTTATACGTTTTAAATTTCATATTCTGGGACTGACAGTTGAACCTCTAGACAAGAAAGAAAACCCGCAGTTTTAAAAAATTAAAGAAGCTTGAATTATTTTTTATGAATATGAATTTAAAATGAAACAAACCAAAAAACCAAAAAAAAAAAAAAACATAACAAGAACAAAATCTGACTTTTCTTATTAATTTATTAATTCAAAAATAATCTTATTTTTAATTTCTTACTCCAAATACAGGATTAAACCTATTGAAGTTTTAAATTAAAAAAACTAATGAATTAAAATATCATATATATATATATATTTATGTCTATATGCATATACACATTGAAATTGTGGTTGAGATCTAGATGACATAAAAACAGTTCATATATTGAATGATAAATTAACATACTATGGTTACAAACCATCAACAACACATTCATACAAAAATAAATAATTATTAGTTTATAGGTTAACATAATTATTTTGTATTATTAGTTACATTATACTTTATTTTATTTTATTGATCATTTTTAAAAGCCTCAATGAATTGTTGATTATTTTTATTTGTATAAAGACATGGATGTGTAATGAAATTTACATTTGAATATAATTCCTGAATATTTTCATTTTTTTTCATTTTCTTATTTTCTTATTTTATTTATCATGTATGAAGCATAAAAGCTATTAAAAAAAAATCATAAATGCCAGTATAAAATGTTGTGAACATGTTGCACCCATATTTATTATTATGATAACATGTAACAACCCCAAATTTTGACGAAATATAAAAATCATTTGAACAATTGATCTAGTGAGATAAATATGTGCTTTCAAACATGATAATTAGCATGTTTTTTTAGTTCAGTCATTCACAGGATGATATGAATAATGCAAAGTTTATGTTTTATTATGTGCAAACCTTTAAATTTTGTCGTGAAAGATTAAAATTTCAATTGTGTGATTCAATAAATAAAACTAGTAGGAAAAATATAAAGAGCAAAAACCTATTCAAAGAAAATGAAAATCTAATTTATTCAAATAAAATGAATAAATTCGGATTGTCATTTTTTTATATATATATATATATATATATATATATATAGTACAAACCTAAACCATGAGATTTGTGTGGTTGCATTTTAGATTCCCCCCCTTTTTGTTGAATTTATATAGTAAGATTTAATTTTTTTTCATTCACATATGTATTTTGAACAAGGTGTCACTTTTAGTTTCCAATATTTTTCATCGTACATTTTTTTTTTTTGGTTTTAGTTAAACTACATTAGTGTGATTTTGGAGATTATGTTTGCATTGCAATTCATCAATACATCGTATATTATGTTCTGAATCCAAGTAAGGGTCCATTTTGTATATATATGTGTATATGGCTGTTTCACTTAAAAAAAAAAAAAAAAAAAAAAAAAAAAACTTGTATCAATACTAAACAAATGCCTTGTTTTGAATGCATTTTTACTCTGTTCACAATAGTATTCACAATTAGCTTGCAATATCAAGTCATTAGATTGTTGAGTTAAGGTTTTGTTGTAATTGTCATGTTATGCAATCAAAGATATATCAAAACTGCATTCATGTTAACAATTACATCGTGATATTTTTAACCACCAGAAATTCTGAGTAAGAGATTTTAAAATTGAAACTGCTAGGTTTATTATTGTTTTGTGACCAAAGTATTCATCTCTTATTATTATAACTGCTCCTTTGTTTCACTTCCTTTTTTTTTTTTTTTTTTTTTTTTTTTTTGTTAAAATGATGCAATGTGAGGTAAAATTTTGAAACCCAAAAGAATTGACAGTGTTTATTGACCCTCAAGTTTTTTGAGTTAACTTTATAGAAGTTATATTCTGAAACTTTGATTAATAAAGTTTAAACTGAACTTGTATTAGTTTCTAAAGATTCTAAAATTATTATTGAATTCCTCTTAGTGTTTGATCTTGGGTGTATTAGATTTTAGTGCATTGGGTAAAAAATGGTTTGTATTAAACTGTGTAGTCACATTATGAATTTGCAGATGCCATAAAGACAATTTCCACAATTTATTTCATTTTCAATGCTGTCAGAGTTTTCATTAATATTCTTAATAACGTTCAGAAAAAACATTATTCAACACAAGAAATCCCTAATAAGATTATATTTTGAAAGACCCAAACCAAAATCAAAACATTAAAACCTTTTTTATTCATTGAAAGGAAAACAAAAACAACACCCAATGTCATGTAATACTTTACCCCATTAAATACTTAACCAAGTATTAGCTTTTACTAAAATCAAAACCCCAATATGAATAAACTTACCATGCGACCTAAACAACTAAAAACTTAATTTATGCTTCCAAATTGTAAGACCCATTCATAAATCCACCATAAATTTAAATAAACAAATAAATAAATAAATAAATGAAGGGAGAGAAAATCATGCTACAAATTCAAGTTCATTCATTAAATTGGGGAAATTTCATCTCATAAAACATAAAAATAAAGGGGAAGAGAGTGGAAATGGCATATTTGTAGCATATCCATGTTTACATAATATTGTGAAAGCCAGGGCTGACATCTCACATCCAAAACTTCATCCTCATCGAAATGGATGACACACATCATTCGTCCAAATTCAGTCGTCGTCTTCTTCGTTCGTCGTCTTCGTCGTGGTTTTCGTCGACGCCAAATCTTCTTCTGCAGCCATGGTGCTTGTATTTGCTGCTTAAGCTTCAAGCTTCTAGGGCGTGGCGACAGAGTACCGGCACGACCCTCGCGCGTAGCCGTCGCTCTTTTTTTTTTCTTTTTTTTTTCTTTTTGTCGCAGCGGAGGAGTTGCATGCGTGAAGTATTTATATGTTTAATTTTTTGTAAAGAGGTTCGTGTGAGGATTTGAGCTTAGGGATTAGGTTTTTGGTGTTTGAATTTCTGCGGAAGGGATGGCGACGGAGGAGGACAGCGCTGTGAAGGAGCCTTTGGATTTGATCCGACTCAGTTTGGACGAGCGCATCTACGTCAAGCTGCGGTCTGACCGGGAGCTCCGCGGGAAGCTGCACGTAAGATTTGGTCACGCTTTGGGTTGGGTGTTAAAACGGTGGTGGTTTTGCGCCGGTGGTTATCCAGGTTTTGTTGTGTGATTGGATTGTTGCGGAACGTATCGGTGCCAGTAACGTTCATGCGCGGTGAATTGTGTGGTCTCGAAGACCCTAGGATATCGAAGTCTTTCACATGCGTTGATTCTTTCGCGCATTGGTGAAGTTCGTATTTTAGGATTAGGGTGTAGGGTTCTCTGTCTCTGTCTGTCTATTTCTCTCTTTTTCTTCTTGGTAGACATTTGTTTTCCCTCCTGTTGCATATGCTTCACTCCCTTGAACTATCTCGATCGTAGTTGTAAACGTAATTGCCAGGTCTAAGCGGTGCATTGGTGCTTATTGCATCGTCTCGGTGATCTCCTGGTTGTGGGGCAAGTATGCCGGCCGACTTTGCATTTTCATTAAAGTATTGATTGTTGTAGTATTTGAAGCAGTTTCCCTGCTGGCGGGTCCTTATTAATTGAATGATTGTGCAGGCCTACGATCAGCACTTGAACATGATTCTTGGTGAGGTGGAGGAAGTTACCACTTCGGTAGAGATCGATGACGAGACTTATGAGGAGATTGTGAGGGTAATACTCATATCCCATCTCCGTTTTTGTCATGCGTTGCTGAATGCGTCTGGCGTAATTCTGGGACCTTTTAGTAATGTTTTTAAAGCTTGGGTAACAGATGACTAAAATTTCAAAATTAGTGATACCCTTGTACGTTGCATTCTGAAGCAGAATCTGTTAACTTCACCTGCCAGAATTTAATGCATTTAAAAAAGTTACATGGTAGATGTTTCAAGCCAACAGAATTCAATGATTCCGTGTAGTTTAGTTATGGCTCCCATGTCACTACTTTGTAGTTCGTTGCACTTATGAAGTAGCCGTGTAAACATTGCGTTATTTAGCTGACTATTGAATGAACTCATTTTTGGTCTCGAAAAGCCTACTTGACAATTTTACACTCAACATTTTGTAATTGGCTTCAATTTTCGATTCATTTTAATGACACACCGCAAGATAGTCAGTACCTCAGGGACTTCGGGAAGTCTTCTGTTACTTGTCATGGAGTCGAAGCTAACAAAAACATGTATTTTCTGTATTGTTTCTTGCAGACATCAAGGAGGACTGTGCCCTATCTGTTTGTGCGCGGTGATGGTGTCATACTGGTTTCTCCTCCTCTACGAACATCATAAGCATATTCTGTTGGAGGGTCGGTGTGCCCTATCCAATTGTCCCACAGGGGTTTGTTTTGAGCTGATATTGTAGAACTATTTTAATACCAAACGACAGACCACAGAAAGAGGTGTTCTTTAGGGGTGTAGTAGTGACCTTGATTTTGTACGTTATCAACTACCTGGTGCATACTGAGGCATCCACAAAAACACTCACGAGTTATGCCGAAGCAGGCAGTCGAGATCCTGAACAGTAGCCGGATTGTGTGCCTAGTTTGTCATTGAGTAAGCGTCGAGGTTATGCTGGGGTCATCAGAAACTCATATCTTGTATTGCATTTAGTTCTTTGCCACAGGCGTTAATTTGGACTTGGCCTGCCAAACATATGTGGAATGTGACCTGTCAGTTTCGGAGATGTGTGTGTCCACGTGGAATTTGATCGACGGTTTCTAATGTTCTATTAAAATGGAGTTAGCAATCTGACCAGCCAACTGGGAAAGGACACGATTAGTCCGCAACTCTCTTATTTTTTTTATGTCCCAGAATATCATCAGTCACAGGAAGAGGTTCGTTTACGTCCAACGAAAGATTGTTCCAATAGTTGGAGTCTGTTTCCTTCCCAACCCAATCCGATTACCACGGGAACAAGTTCGATTATCGTTACACCTCGCAGTTTGATTATCAACGTTGCTTTGAGGTACGCAGGAAAGTATGAGCAGTACCGATCCGAAATTCAAGGTTTGCACTTCAATACATCTACGTTGACAACGGATCTATTACGGCAGGCAATCGAACGCTAAATCTGAATCCTCCGAAAGCTCGCTGTCGGTATACGCCGGACTCTTCGCAGCTGCCACTGGGTCTGAAACCAGACATTAGCAGCAGAGTTATGGATCAGTGCCCTTTACTTTAGTTCCAGTTTCCTATCTCACCCTGGCGATGCCGCTGTGAACTAATCTAGTTTACAATTACTGGAAGCTCTCACAACCCGTCCCGTCATTCCATTCAGTTCAACTCTCTCGAGAGAACTCTGAAGCACACATGTGCTTCAGTTCAAGCAGGGGGAAGTGTTGCTCTTCAACTGGAAAGAAGAAACTCGTTCTCCTCCGCGAAAAACAAAATATTAGCAGCTGCTTTCTGCTTTAACTGTGGTAGGATTGTGCAGTGCGTGATCAACCCGAGGGACACAGAGTAGCTAAGACCAGTGAGCTTGGATCAGATAAGCTCTCACTGGTGCCAGAAGCAGTGCCCAAAAAAGCAACAATCTGTCTCACCTCACTCAAACTCAAATACAGTTCTGGCAACATTCCTGACATGGGCTTCAAAACCCCACAACTTGGAGGTGGTACCTTGGCGTTGCAAACAAAAACAAAAGATTAATTTACAACACATAGTTTACAATGTTTTTTCGAGGTCAATGGCACGGGTTTCCATTGGTCTAGTGTATATATATATATATATATATATACATATTTATATATATGTAGTATTTTATTGAGAGATTTTTAGTTGCTTGTGATGTTTCCATTAATTAATGCTTCCACGCTTGGGACAGCACCCTCATTCCTCTCACCGACCAATCCACCTGAACGATTCCGAACCTACCTCAACCCCCCCCCCTCGACGAACCTACCCCAGACCTAAACCGAGCCTGAGCCCCTCTCAACCCAGGGCTCCCTTCTTGCGTGGCTCTCCAACTTGCCACGACTGCCTTCTCCGAATCCTAAACAGAAAATCTACAATCAATCTTAGAAAAATCTCGCTTTCACATACACACTAAAAGTGAAATCTAGGATTGGGGTTTCGAAGAGCGACTTGGCGCAGCGGGACGACGCTGCGGAACTGACTGAAATGGAACAGCCACAATTTCCTATGACACCTCCCGATCAATGCCGCTTTTACAATTTTTCTTTGCTGGGAATTTTATTTGTGTGGTGACGCTTTGCGGAAATTTGTGGGTTCTGAACTGGGTAGTCTTTCGAGTGCTGCTCGAGGGTTGGGGAATATTTGCCAACTTCAATAGCATGAGCTTCGCTTTGTAGAGGAGAATTTGCTGACCATTGAGGCCATGGTACCTGGAATTGGGTGTAAGTGTGGTCTGGGTATATGATAGATTTGCGCATCGTCTTCTCGAGGGTTGTACGAATGCAGTCGGAGTGTTGATGTTGCGCTATTCGCCTCATGAGGTTGGAATTGTAGGCAGTTCATGCGTTCGGCTGGACACGGTGGAAATTTTGGGCGTGGAGATTGCTGTTCGTGAACTCGGGTATGATTGATGTACCCTCGCAGTTTTGCTCTCCGTAACCTCTTTGGCATCATTAAGCTAAGAATTCTTGAGTTCCGAGCTAGATTTGAGGTTTGGGTTTTTTTGGAGGGTTTTCAGAGCTGTTTAATGCGATTACCAATCTGCATTTATATTCAATTTCGAGAAACTTAAGGCCAGTTGATTGTACAATTAGGATGACTTCTGATCGATTTGAATTTTGTCAGTAATCGATTCCGCTTGGGAAGAAAGCTAGAAAGAAGTATTCACCCTGCTGCAATTGAAGCTGCTGCGCTTGCGATGTTACGGGTTAGGTCTTGAATCGATAGAACTTGTTCTTGATAGGTCGCCAATTCTTAAAGAGAGGAAAAAAAATGTCTTGAGAATGTTGCAGGCCTGCGCTGCACTGATACAATGGAATCAGCGACTCATATGGTGGTGTCGACTCCCAGATTAATCCAAACAACAACACTCTCCTCCCAACCAATCAACTCAGTGTCAGGATTTGCAGCTGTTGCTCAGAGAAAATGCAGCCTTCACTTCCATGCGAGATCAAGTAGTCCATTCCCAAGGTCAGTCTCATATGGAACCAGACTGATGTGCAAAGCTAGCACTGCAGTCCACTTCACAGACAAATTCGATTCAACACAGCAAGAGCAATGGCAGTCGTCTCGCAAGCTTGTTGAAGAGATAGGGCTCAGCCCTGAGGAAGCCGATGACATTCTTGCCAAATCCTTCGGATGGTCCTACTCGGATTACTGGGGCGAGGAGAAGCAGGCAACCGTCCCTAACCCTGACACTGTGTCCTCCACCTTATCCTTGTTGCAATCTCTTGGCATAGATTTGTCTGCCTTGGCAAAGAAATTCCCGGAGGTGATGGGACTCACCAAGGAAGAGATTCAGTATAGCTTGGGCACTCTGGATTCCACTTGGGGGATAGCAGGGAAGAACTTGAAGAATGTGTTGATGCGCAATCCACAAGTGCTGGGATACAATATCGACTGTGGCGGTGATTGTGCAGGAGAATGCACTCGCTGTTGGGTTAGATTTTAGATGAAGCACACTAATTTGTGTTAATCCTGTGATACTTATTTCTCATCTGGGAACGAAGAGAGCCGAAATTGAAGACTCTTGTCTGGAGGTTGACTGCAACTCGGTGAAGCCTGATCACGTGCACATCTCAAGCTAACGTTTCTGCAATAAGGAATTGCAATTTATTATTACTATTATTATTATTATTTTGGATCTTTTCACTTGCAGATGGGATTATGGCATCAAGTTTGTACACAATCAGGGCGGTAAATTCAACCCCGTCAAGAGGTGAAGTGTATACATTGAACGTTGTTCAGTCTTGAGCAAATTGGTTATTTTTTTTGTTTTTTCATGAAGGAATAGTGAATGATAGATTTTGAGATGGGTAAGGTTTGTGCTTCAATTATGTGTCTTGATGTGACTTAAAAGACACTTAAATTTAAAAATCATAGGTTATTTTAAGTGTATTTGATGTGTGTTTTCAAAACCTACGTTTTTTTTTACTAAAAATACTTACCAACTGCGCAACTGAATAGAGTGAGGATATAGATTGTTCATACTGGTGGATCATATTGCTTATTTAATTGATAGCTTGTAATTGTCATGTGAGCCAATAGATTGTGTTGAATCGTATCATTGTACATTTGTGTGTACAATAAATTTGAATTAGGTCTCAATGGGTGGAGAATTTGACAGTGTACTTGTTATTGGAAAATTTATGTAATTAGGTCAAGTACTTGCACAACATGTACTCAGCGTAAAAGTTCATATCAAGTTATTGAAATTTTAATATTGAAATATTGAAACACAATATTATAGAATTGCACCACTTTCTCTGTTATTATTTTGGCGACAAGTTTATTGTTTTACATCACTTGATATTAAAATATATGGTTCATTTACATTTTCTATGAAGTGAACTGAGTGAAAGTCATTGTAGGATAATATGGACATAAAATATGTTATTCTATGTTCTTTTATTCAAGGTGTCATGGGTTGTAATATCACTTCAGGATTCCACTTGACTTTCTGATGTAATAATATAAATGTCACTTGAAGATTCACATTATTTTTAAATTAACAAAATGTTCCCATTTTTACTACAACACAAGAAAGAAGAAGTACAAGTGGTTTTAACACACTTCCAGAGAGTGAGTTGGAATGACTATTTCTAATTTACATAATCCAGCAGAAGGAAGTATTATCTTCTTGAAGAAATAGGCATGAAACCATGGAAAGAGGGAGAAAAATTAAAAATTAAAAAATTAAAAAATAGAGAAAAAATTAGGCCAATAAGACATCCATGCATTGGAGGAGAATAAAACAATATTAAAATTGGTATGTAGGAAAATAGATATGAAAAATTCTTCCGTGCCACTTAGTGAGTAAATAATAGACTAAAGGATGATGGACATTGTCTCCCATCCTTAAAAAAAAAAAGAAAAAAAGAAAGAATAATTAAAGAAAGAAAAATAAACATTTCCAAGGTAATATACGTTAACATTTGTCCCACTTCAATAAATTCCCAAAGAAACTCTACAATCCATTCTTTCGCTCCACCACCTTCCCTATTTAAACCGTTGAGCTTTAAAGTAAAAAGGCGAACTTGTGCCCAACGCCACCACGCTGGACGGTGATAGGCCCACAACACGGGAACAGGGGAGGTGCGGATAAAGGGGTGGAGCGGACACAGGGATGAAACGGTGATTGGCAAGAGGGGTTGTTGTTGGGTTGCAAATGCAGGAGGCGAGCGGGGGGACTGAGATCGACGCCGGAGCATCATCATCCCGCTACGCTGCTCAATTCCGCAACTCGTCTTTCAGGTTTTTATCCTCGTTTTCCTCCTTTGAACGTGCAATTACAGTGACCCAATTGATTTTTTTCCTGGGTTTATTCGCGTTGATTGCTTGTCATTTAGGCAGCAGGCTTTGGGGCTGTGCTTGTCCGTTGTTGGCGAAGCTCGTGAGCTTGTGGGGCAAGGTTTCCACCTCGTGGGGTGATTTTTTTCTCGTTGCGTAGGCTTTCCGCGGACGACGAATAGGTGCGGCGTTTCGTGAGGGAGTGAGTTTTCGCTTCGTGGCGGAGTTTTAGAGGCTGGAGGTTCGGGGTTTTTGGATCTGGTGGTCGTTTGTTTGCTTCGTAGCTTTGGGGCATTTTGGTTTGCCTCTGCCGTTGTGAGTATTGTTGGATAGAACGTTGTGTTAAAAAGGATCGAAATAAAAAGAAAAAAGAAAAAAAGAAAAGTGGAAATAGAATTGAAAGCTTCCTGCTTGCCATGCACCAGGACTCCGGCATCGATAGGTCGCTAAGCCCGACAAATTGCACCGCCCGCAGGCTTGGGGTTACAATCGACGTAAGTGTATTGTTTCCTGTAAGAACGACCTATTTTACTATAATTTTGAGTTGCGTGATAGCATCAAGCTATTCAACATAGGGTGAAACAGTTTTTTTTCTCAGCTAATCTCTACTTTGCATAACTAGTTTCTTACCAGTTCTTTCAGATATGTATTGCTTAAGCTAAGTGCGGCTTTTTACAGGGCTTTTTACTGAATTGCTTACACTGTATACTATGGATATAGCTCGATCTTTGATGATTCTGACTCTCTCCATCTAAACTCTTCAAATTGGATCAGAAGCGTTTAAATTAGCAAATTTCCCTTGAGTTGAGCATACGAGCCCCAGTAAGAGAAGTCGAGGAGTTTTCCTTTGTAGGAATTGCATGCACAAGAGTTCAGGTAGAATGGGATTGTCAACTCGAGCATTCCTACTGGGGGCCCAATTTGTGTGAGGATACGCGATTTGGACCTCTGTTGTAATTTTACTGGTGAGCTAAATAGGCTTTGTGATTGCGATATGAACTGGTCACAGCATCACGTAACGCTCGGGGTGATCGGATCATCTCAATTAGGAGCGTGGCGTCACCGAGGAATTACATAGGCATTATGCGGCTGCTCCTCGGCGCTGGATAATTCTGCACGACCCGACGGATGCGTGGAAGCTGGCAAGCGCAAGCTATTCCACCAATTAAGTTGGAGGAGAGTTTCAGCAGCAGGGAGGGGCATTGTAGAAGGAGTGGGTGATCATTTCTTCGGAAAGAGAGTCCATCGCAATGCTTGATGTGTCGAGAGTTCAGAAAGAGCTTGTTGAGATCAAACGTGATGAGAAATTATCCGGAGTGAGCATTGAAATCTCGGAGGGAGACTTGACGCGTATGCGAGGCACCATCGGTGGACCTCATGGGACTCCTTACGAAGGTGGTGTCTTCATCGTGGACATCCAACTGCCATGTGAGTATCACTCTGTGAACTTATCCTCAATAGGCCACAACCCTAATCCTGGAGTGATCAACCCTCCCTCCTCTCAACTAGTGCGCATGCCATGCTTGTATGGCTTGTAGGATTATGTTTGCCCCTTTCTGCTCTAGTGGTATGATCACTGTGTAATATGTATTTGAAAATAATGAGTTCTCGTTTTATGTGACTGTACTGTTAGACCACCTTTCACAATCTTTATTTTTATTTTTATTTTCATTTGATACATTCTGAAGAGATAAAGTGTTGGCTGCCAATCCAAACAGCTGCTTATCCTTTTGAGCCACCGAAGATGCAGTTCGTGACCAAAGTTTGGTATGTGCAACAGCACAACTCAATCGTACATCTGTACATTCTGGTTTTGGGTTGTCACTGGATAGATCATTTAATTTGGTGAGTAGGGTTGAGCCTACGTTATTTTCAGGTGAAGTTCTTGTGCTCGAATGAAGAACAATAATTGTGCCGGTGCGTGCAAATGAATTTTTTCGTCCAGGCACCCCAACATAAGCAGCCAGAATGGCGCCATCTGTTTGGATATTCTGAAGGACCAATGGAGTCCAGCTCTGACTCTCAAAACTGCCCTCCTCTCCCTTCAGGCTCTTTTATCAACACCAGAGCCTGATGATCCTCAAGATGCTGTTGTGGCACAGCAGGTTGAATTCCCCTCATTGAGTGTACATTTTGTCTTTCTTGCAATACCCTTCTTCGCAAAAATTCTACCATGTCATTCTCATCTTATCAATGACAAATACTCTCAACCTAGACAAGGGCTCTTTTGATCTCTACCCTTATTCACATATGCGTGGCATTTCTCTTGTGTTTGCAGTATTTACGAGACTACGCGACTTTTATGGGAACTGCTCGGTACTGGACTGAATCATTTGCAAAGAGGGGGGCTCTTGGTATTAAGGAAAAGGTTTTGTTCTCCATCAATCCTGTTAAATTCCGATCATATGATTGACCACGAGAATTGATGAAACCGATCTTTGTCCTTCAAATCGCATTTTGTTACTGTTAATATTGGCCCTCCGTGTTGAATTTGGCTGCCTTTGTTTTAATTTCCAGTTCTAATGCAAATCCTGGCCATTTTCAGTTAGTCAAGCTGGTGGAGATGGGCTTCTCAGAGGACACAGCGAGGGTTGCACTGGAGAACTGTGGGGGCGATGAGAACGCAGCATTGGAGAAACTTTGCGGCGGTTAGAGCGTATTCGTGCCATAATATTGAACTTTGATTTTTGGGGAAGGTCATACAAAGCTATCTCACACACATTCAATTTTTGAGTTTTTGTATCCGCCAACATCAGGGCACCCACATTCCCACATAACTTGGTGCACTTGCTAGAGGTTTTGAGGAGATTGCCGCCGTGAAACTCTTTTTCAAGTTAACCTACTGTCTTGAAAAACAACATGGTGAAAGCTTAGTATGGCTCGTATATGTTTGTCCACTTTCGACAACCAAACGAAGTGACCTGGTCTACTTTTACTACTTTGTTATGATCTATATCGCTGTCAATCTCTTCCATCATTTAAAGAACCTGTTAATTTGAGCTCGTTATGTGAGTATCACTGGTCCGGACCGACAGCGTTGAAATTTACTTCGGTGTCTTGCAAATTGACGTTCCTGAGAGATGCATGGACAAGGTTATACAACCTGTGTAGATTATGATTTCTGTGAAGTGTTGTGGATACAGCTACCGAAGTCAATGCTAACCGATGACTCGTAGTAATGTTGTGTATGTGAACTCTAGACATTTGAGGTCCATTTCGTGCTGCGAGAATCTCACTTATCAACAGTCAGAGAGCATCACCACCAGACTGAGATGCAACTGAGGATAGGCTTTACGAGGCATAGCAGAGTGCTTGCTTATTCCTCAGCTATGGTTCCTTCTTATTATATGCCTTGTGAATGTAGGCAAGATCTGTGATAAAGTTGGCAACCACGTCCATGTTCTTAATGGGGTTCTTCGTCAACGGCTGAGAAATCGTCGATTTTCTACTGATACGGAATAGCAAGTTGGCTGCCGCTATACAGATCTGCAACACCCCACCAGCTGATCATTAAAATGAAGGTGGGTCCGAAACCAAAGACTTTAGTAAGAAAACAATCAAAACATGATGTTTCACTATATAAAATGCAATTCCAAGTAACGCATTCTACTTTAATGCGAAGAGACAGTTTCAACATGCTTACCTGATTGTATGCAAGCACGTTGGTGGAAGCTCCTTTGAGCATTTGATCTATGCTCAGTTGAAGCTCCACGGTTTGGAGTTTTTTACGTTCCACGATCTGTTTAGTTGTGCAGATTTCATTGTTTAGTACCATCACGTCGTGGTCACAATTCCTTAAATAATCGTGAAGGTCTCTTCTTACAGTATCATACTCCTGTGAACAGTGTTCGATGTGTTGGTTTAGCTCTTTTGTGTTTCTGGTTAATATGGAGTGCCTGTAATATTTTCTCAATGTCTTTAGAAAGTCATTAACTCACAGAAGGAATAATATGTAAATAGATATTTCAAAAAGCAATGAGAATGATTCTGAACACACTTGAAAAGAATTAAACTATTCAATAAAATAGTTTTATTAAATAAAGAAATATAAGACCTTAAAATCAAGTCATATATGTCAAAGAATTGATTGTTCTTTCCCACTACAGCTTCCAAATATTTCTCATAAACAGTCATATTTTTCAAATCAGCAAGAGTTTCAGAATGATGTTCTTTTAGTTTATGCAAATCCATTTGAAGTCGAATAATCTCTTGCTCCAAAAAAAAATATTAAAAAATCATATTCTTTTTTATTATTTTTATGATTCATTAGAAAACTAAATACCATGTTATGATACTCATAGTTTTAAAAACAAATGCATAGTATAGTTTGTAACTTTTACATCAAATTCAAAAAATGAACTCCATTGTGAAGTTTAAGAGATTTATTTTTCAATGATAAATCTTGATATTATCTAGATAATGTAATAGTTGTTTTCATAGTAGACCATTTCTAAACATGCTTGAAGTTCATTTCTCTTTTTTCTCAGCTTTCTTTTTCTTGGTTGCATTTTCCTACATCAAATCAACACATCATGATATTATTAAATTGATATTCGAATAATCAAAATTTATGGTCCAAAATCCATACCCCACAATTCAATTAACCAAACTTTCAAATATCATACCTGAAGAACTTTTGCTTTTGCAATAAACAAGGTTTGCACGGCACGGTCTTTGGCAAGCAATGCATTTTCCCGTTTTTGTTGAATTTCTTGTTTTCTTTCTTAAATACACATTCAACTTCCACACTATTTAAATATTTAGCAAAGAAGAATTAGTGGATTTTGAAGAGTGCTTCATACTAGAGAATAGCAAAATGCAAAGTATTAGATTCCTAAGTAGAGTAAAAACATTGATTCCTTGAACACATATGTTATTCCTTGAACACATATGATAATTTTATGATTATTATTATTACTATTATTAAAAAAGGTTGGTGTTCAAACCTACATAAGAAAGTTTTTCTTTTGATGTTCCAATTCAGCATGCAACAGTTTCATTAAACGTGTCTTTTCTAATAAACTAGTGGCCGGCAAAGCATTGTTTGATTTTTCAACTTCAATAAAAGGTGGGAAACTTGATAAAGTCTCTTCATTTCTGCTCGTCTCTGTTTTGTTGTTAATATTTTCCATTCTAGGTGAATAATTTGAATTTGTATGATTTTGAACCTTAAAATTCAAATAATTATAATTTTTATGTTGTGGATGATGATCGTTTTTCTTTTAATTTTACAGTGCGAAAAAAGTTTACTTTTGAGCCATGTTCTCACTAGTATTCTAGCAAACAGAATCCTTAAAGATTTTATTGCAAATGATGCATTTTTGAAAATAAATAAATCATTAATATACACAAAATAAACAAAGTTACATTATCTGATGATAAAAATTGCTTATGTTTTGTTCTATTTCAAAATCTAAAATTTTCTTCGAACTAAATATTCAGTCTTGTAAGGAATGCAGATTAGTAGAACATCCTCTTATTCCAATGAATTGTGTAGAAACTGTTGCATTATTTATTTTGTGAATAAACAACATGTTCCAGAATTAAAACAAAATAAAAACCCAAATGTGCAATATATTTGAAGTATTTCAATAGATACAAATAATTTGATCTGAAGCGATGCTAGTAACCACTAGCAAAACAATTTATCATCTCAAATCTCAAAACATAAATCCTTAATTGCAATCCGTGATCGTAGCAAGTACTAAGATTCCAATGATTAATTGATATTTATATACGAATAATTTTTTTAACTAACAAAACAACTTGAAATAAACAAACAAATTACAATGATTCCATAAAAGCTCAGTATTTTATAACATTAAAAAGAGCTAGTATAAGATCTATGGATACCATACACATAGGAAACATATAATGTTTAATCTTCATGTTTTCAACTACTACTACAACAAATAACCATACAATTCAATTTCGTCATTAGATTTAAAACTCACTTCTTAGAGAGTAAAAAATACGAACAAATTATCTATATATATATATATATATATATATATTTATTTATTGATAGATATTAATCATTTATCAAAAATAGTTATAATAAAAATTTATTGAAAGAGTGTGGGTTTGATTTAAAATCAATGAATGATTCATTTTTGTATTGGTGTTGAACACAAGTAATCTATGTAACTTTTCATGAAAATTATTTTAATTTATTCTAAACTTAATTCTTATTAATAAAATTGAAATAATCACAAAAGAAATCATAAAACAAACGCAAAATCCAATACATTATGTGACGTTTACAGCAAATATATATATAAAAATCTTTCCTCACCAGAATATTAAAAACTCAACCATTGAAAAAAGAAATTTATAACAATATCTTTAAGTAAATTTACTATCAAAATGGATTTTGTAATGTTATCAAAATGTAATGTTGTTATTATCACAATATTAACATTTTATGTAGTCTTTATGGCAAATTGTGATGCAATACACAAATTTTGAGTGTTTATTAATCAATCACAACTTACAATTAAGATTCCAACTTATTTCCAAGTCCTTTAAAAACTTCATAGAAAATTATGAAGTTTTTTTTTGGTGGTATAACTAGTTGGAATAAAGTCTTAGTACAAAACAATTAATTGCATTAAACTTACTCTAATAATGCATGGTATACTTGGTACAACACAAACAATTGTCAATAAAATATGAGGCATTAACACATGTTAACACATTTACTTAGATATGCAATTATATCAAGGTGTGAAATGGTGCAATTGTGTGTATTAAATATTAATATATATATATATATATATATATATATTTTAAATTTGTCAAACACAACAAGTTGTCATTAAAAGCATTTAATTATTGTATGATCTTGGGTTTTTGAATTGTAATCCAACAATCCAAGATCCAATTAATTTGATAGCTAATTTTTAAGATTGTGGTGGAAATTTTGGTGATAAAATGAGTTAGATATTTAAAACTCGTTGTGAAGAAGTTACACATTACCAAGAATACAAACTATTGCTCTTAAAGCTTCCAATGTGAAAATCAAGCATGGCCTTCAAAAAAAAATATGTTTGTGTGTGTGTATATATACAAATATATATATATATATATATATATGGCATTTGCTAATGTTTCATAAATGGATAATTTACACAATGGAAGGTGAATTCTGGAATTGAAATGTAACTTATATGTTTTGATGACAACTAAATCCCATCAGTAATGTCAGAAAATAAAATTTAAAATCATAAAGTTGAGTTGACAAAAAACACTGTAACATGAACAGATCTCAATTTTAATACATGAAATAAATATTTGAGAGAATCTTTGAATTGGAATAATTTGTGTAGTTCAATTTTAAAATATAATAAAATATTAAGAAGACCTAACATATATCATTGAAATTATTTATATTAATCTTTTTAAAATTTTGGCATTGTTTTTGTTTTGTTTTTTTAAGATTGTGTGTATATATATTTATAGCTTGTGTTAATTTGTTGAATTCAGTTCCATCATTTGTGAAATTTCGTAACATACAAGATGATGGATTTATTGATTTATTATTTTTTGCCACTTTTGTGTAGTTTGAAAACAACCCCCCCCCCCTCCCCATTTTTTTTCACAGTATTCAAATTTAATAATGTTTCTTCTTGCAAATTCAAAATATCTTCATAAAAATGAATGGTTTGAATGATACTTTATTTTAATTTATATTGGTAATTTAAATGTATCTCTAATATAACACAAGTATTTTTTTTTAATGAAGTTATTAAAAATCATGTCAAAATTGCTAAAAGTATATGTTCTTTCACAACACAAAAAAGTATGTTGCCCTTTCATTTCTAATGTAAGTTTAACAAGTTTCCACTAATATATCTGTAATATAAAAAGATTATGTTTGTTTAGTAAAACCACTACAAATGATGCCAAAAGTTGTTAAAAAAAGCATCCCCAAATTCCTAAAAACTAGAATCTCAAGCCATTAATATTTGAAATTGTTTCTTAAAAGCAACAATTGTGTTATTGCACCAAGTCAAAACTTTGCTCTCTCTAAATTCAAAGGGATGCAACTACAATGTATAAATTCAATTATTATTCATTGTATGGAACAAAAATTCATAAAACACTTTTAGAGGCAAACACTTTGATAAGGACAAAAATATAAGCAAAGAATGATTTATTGATACTAATACTAAATAGAACATTAGATCAAGATAAGAAGTTTGTTGTTCCATTTCTTAATTATTGCTAGCATAAAATATTCATAGGAATCTAGTATTTAAAACAATATAATACAAAGACAACAAGACAATTATTATCAAGTCATCAAGCATACCTTTATACTAGTTTTTTTTAATAATCTTATAAGTTTCCAAGATGAAATGAATGTCTAAATTAAGAAAAATATTCTTGATAATTCAAGAAAAAAAAAACTATAACACATATTAATCAAAAATTCAAAAATATTATATTAAGGTAGAATATAAAACTGTTTTTGAATTTTGATAATATTATTTTAAGTGATTTTAAATGCTATTTACAAAATATGTGTTGTGAGAAGTTTAGTTCCTATAAAGTTTGTTAGAGTTTTCCATTACCCTTGAGATATAATATTAAAATTATACTTTAAGGATGTCATATATATATATAAAAACATACATACATGAGTAAATATTTGAATGGATAATCTAAAATAGGTTTAGGAGAATAATTAATAAAGGCTGGTTTTGTAGAGAGAAAGGTTTTTATTTATTTATTTATAAGGGACGGCTCTTGAGCTTGCATGGACAGGGTCACGGATGAATGAAGGGATCACGAACGAGGAATCCAATACTTTTCATCCAAAAGTCAAAAGCCATTCAGCTACGAAAGCCCGAACGAGAAACACACACGGCGATGGGTGAGAAACGGCTTCGGGTTCTAGGACCTTCCACCACAGATCCTCCATGACCACGGAACCACCACGAAACAGAAACAGATAAGGCTCCCCGTCGTTCCCATCGCGATCCCGGTCCCCCTCCGTCGTTCGCCAGGGCCAAACCACGAAGGGAACACGAGCGCGGGCGTTCGATC